CAGTCCGACACGTCATGTAGGCGGTCACTACCCAGGGCCTGACACGTCATGTAGGCGGTCACTACCCAGGGCCTGACACGTCATGTGGGCGGTCAATACCCAGGACCAGTCTGACACGTCATGTAGGCGGTCACTATCCAGGGCCGGTCTGACACGCCATACAGGGGGTCACTACCCAGGGCGTCTGACACGCCATGAAGGCGGTCGCTGACCAGAGCCAGATTGACACGTCATGAAGGCGGCCAACACCCAGGACCAGTCTGACATATCATGTAGGCGGTCAATACCCAGGACCAGTCTGACACGTCATGTAGACGGTCACTAACCAGAGCCAGTCTGACACGCCATACGGACGGTCAATACCCAGGGTCAGTCGGACACGTCATGTAGGTGGTCACTAACCAGAGCCAGTCTGACACGCCATACAGGCGGTCAATACCCAGGACTAGTCTGACACGTCATGTAGGCGGTCAATACCCAGGACCGGTCTGACACGTCATGTAGGCGGTCACCAACCAGAGCCAGTCTGACACGCCATACAGGCGGTCAATACCCAGGACCAGTCTGACATGTCATGTAGACGGTCACTAACCAGAGCCAGTCTGGCACGCCACACCGGCAGTCAATACCCAGGACCAGTCTGACATGTCATGTAGGCGGTCACTGACCAGAGCCAGACTGACCACTGGCCACTGACCAGACCATAAAGGTGACCAGAGCTAGTCTGACCAGACTGACCAGAGCTAGTCTGAAACGTCACAAAGGTGAACAGGTAGTGTGCTGAGCACATGCACATTAAATTTGGTCCCAGTTAAACAAATAAAGACCGTGCGAAAACCTTGAAGACTGGCAGGCATTTTGCTTCATCTGTGAATTTTACCTCTGTGGTAGGATGGGTATTATTGCCCGCGCTACAGATCACGGTACATGAAGGCTCGTGGGTGTTGCATACGCATGCCAGTTTTCAGCAATTTGGGGTAGTGGTTTAACCGTACGAGAACGAAAACCGCGACGTTCCATTTGTAGTTATGTTCTTGGTTCACAGGTGACAGCACCGGTGCCCCGGCGCCTGAGCGTGGGCGTGCGGGATTCAGACAGTCTTCCATGTGTAAGATCATAGCCCCTCCCCCGAAAGAACAGGGGGAGGGGGGCAGGGCAGCCATGACCCCCCATTTTTTAGTGTGTGGGGCGGTCAGCAATGTTAACTGGCCTTCCCACTTTTCAGATTAAGGCTGCATTTGACTTAATTTTGCACCACACTTAGCATTCATGCCGATATACCTACTTCACCGTTTGCTCATTGGCCATCGCTTAGTATTACAGCCGGAAGGCCAACGCCGCACGACCTGGAGACTGCAACGCCGGGCGTCGAGGCTGTTGTTGCCGTGACTTGCGAGCACGCATGTTCAAGACCATATTGCGTAATTTTCTTATCAGCAATCAGTTCTGACAGAATTTTGTGCATTTTAAGACGAACATGGGTTAGCAATGTTAATGCAAATTAAGAACCCGATTTCATTTACAATCTGCGGTTAGGGAGAACTCAATATCTCTGAAGAACACAGAAAAACACGGAACTGGAGTCTATGTGACAATTATTGGACTAACTGCGGTGGTCAGAGATGTTGTTGCGTCAGTGAGGGTTCCTGTGCTGATCCGGGGCTAGCTGCGCGGGTCAGAAGGTTTCCCGTATCAGGGATGGGAACAATGTGACATGATATATCCTTCTAATGGCCTCCGGACCGACTAGGAGATCCCGCCCCGTGTCACCAGAATAATAGCCAGAAGACACTTTGCGATGGGACGGAATGGCCACTCAGCCTTTGACCGGAAACGGTCAAGGGATAAAGGTGTTCCCCTGGTGTCCTACTCAAGAGGCCCCTTGCCCGGAAGGGGTCTCATTATTATTGAGTAGATTGGGGGTCTCATTGTTGAAAAGGGTGGGTCGAAATAAGCTTAGAAACCGAGCAGGGTCATGCCATGTCTGCCTGAGAACGTTCATTTTTTAGAATGTATAATTGAAATAAAATAATGTGGTACGGGCCGCCCAAGGTCCGTGGGCCTTGGTTACTGAGGATTTATAATTGTTATGAGGAAATTAACGAATTTTACGCTAGACCATCCGTGCCCCGCGGTGTTCGACGCCGACCGACGATACCGAAAGAGCACCGGTGGGCGCCTGCAGCGGCGGCGGCGGGGCTCCGTTGGCCGTTGGTCATAAAATAAACACGGTTAATGTTGCAGTCATCGTTTTTACTTACACCTATTGGTTTGCCAAAATAAACCACCTCCTCCGCTCCAACTTTTAGCAAAAACTCCTTCGTTCACGCAATCACATCATTGAGGACCACGCTTTCCATTAAGTGCCGACCACCACCTCCCGTTATGCAACATGGACTGAGGAGCCTGTTTCGCCGACCAAGCGCCCCACTGTTAGAGAGCCCGACCAAGTGGCGAGACCAGGCGCCAGGAGCAGGACGATCCTGACGTGCAGGAGAGCTCTGCTCATTCCGCCGACCCTCCGTGTCCGCTGTGTTCGACGCCGGCCGACGACACCGAAGGAGCGCCGGTGAGCGCCGCCGCTGGCGGCGGCGGCGGCGGCGGGGCCTCGTTGGCCGGGTCTTAAGAGGCATAGCCGGCTTCGACGAGGACCCGGAGCGCTGCGGACCCAGGCGATGGCCCACCGGCCTATGGCACGGAACGGGACGCGTCTCTTGCACCCGCCCAGCCGGTCTATGCGTCGTGCGCGTGCCGGGACGCCGGGATATAGCATGAGACACAGGGACACATGCGTGTGAGGAAACGATAATGATAAGTAATGTCATGCAGCGTCAGTCGGACACCTCGTTTGGTGTCGGACGAGCACGTTGGTGACAGATGACAGATCACACCATCGTGTTGATTATGGTACCCAAATATGTTTGGATGCACTTTATGGCTTTGAACCCACTCAAATGTGTCTTATGTTTTACTTGAAACATAAACGATGTCCGTCTTTTGGTTTTAGCTCGGATCTTTGCACCGCGTTTCTACACACGCAAGACATTGAACTCAAAATTTCGCGCACATATTTGCACATCGCATTTCCAACTCTGTACACGCCGCGTGGTGCGATCGGCAGAAACCAAACCAACGCTCCCAAAGGCAACATGGCCTCCAATCAGATGAACGTGAGCGATCAACAAATCAGGTGGCCGCTAGACTTTGCCACCATTCCCCACCGAGGGCGTTTATGGGATGTCATAAAGGGCAGAACTCGAACTATCCCCCCAAAGACCCAGCCTGGCATGCCTCAGGCGCACGAAATATCGCGCGTGATCAAACATATTATCTGATGTTCTTGCTCGCCCATTTTTCAATACCTGGAACGTCTGTTCACAGGCAATAACAGGCATATGTAAATTGAAAAAGGCCGTGTCCTCTTTCACTTGAAAATGACAGCTTGCTAGATACCCAAGGCTGTGGCGGATCTGATATTTCTGACCCAAGAACTGTTCGAACTTTCGTCCTCATCTGGCGAGTTAGTATACACACAATCATGCATATACTTGGCGTGTACATACCAATACACCAGACGCGAACGAGTCTCAGCAATTGCTCCATCCTTGATATATACACACACACACACACATATATATATATATATATATATATATATATATATATATATGAACACGTATATATGTATATACACATACATATATCTCTATATCTCGGAGGTCAAACAAGGCAAATTGATGTCTTTGTTTAGAACTTCCAGTCGAGACCGACTTACAAAACGCATCTACTCGACGGGAACATTTCCTGACTGCGGTCAGCACGATCCCGCACCACGGATAGACCGGCTTTTGGTGAAATATTTATTATAACCATTCAACATTAATTAATCATCAGCCCACAGATCCTAGCGGGGGTTAGAACGCAACACAAATGGCCGGTCGGCCCGCCCCACCGCCGTCCGGCAGGCGGAACGGGCGGCGCCCCGCCGGCCGCTCCACACATACACCAACCGCATGCCGGCGGGCCGCACCCAACCCAACGTCCCCCCCCCCCCTCAACAGCAACCAGAAACGAGACGGAACGGGGAACGCAGAACAACCAATCGCGAGACTGTAGAGCGACCGCATCACACGGGCGAAATATCAAATCTTCACCATACAAATTTGCACTCACCATGATGGTAAAATAGGCACGCTTTGTCTGGTACTGTCCATTTACTTACAGGACCCGTGTCGATTTGTTCCTGCACCGGTGCCCGGCGGCTGGCTCGCCCCAGCACGCCGGCGACGCCTCCTAGAGCCGAAAAGCTTCGCCCACTTCGACCGCGATCGCCCCAGCACGCCACCGTTTCGCGACGTCGTTCAGCGCCGCACCTCCGTCGGAGAGGCCCAAACGCCCTACACACACACACACACACACGCACCAGAAAACCCCACCCCGCGATTGTCCCGGCTGCAGTTTGTCACCGTAGTTGAGACCATGAAGTGTCGCCCACACCGAAACGAACAGGACACGGAGCTGGCGCCCGACGCCGCGCCCCGCCCTGCTCCCAGTGAGCAGTTTGGGAGCGGCGTCGTGCCGACTTGTGAACACCGTGATCGCGTTGTCTTTATGCCGACCGCAGCAAACTGTTACGAGCGCCCCAATCGGCAAGGACGTGTGCGAAGGATTACAGCATAGCAGGTACTCGCGCCGATTAATTTGTATGGTCCGCACGCCTGACACACGCCAGCGCCAACACAAAAGCGACCCGAACAACAACCGCAAGTACTCTAAAAGCAGCAAAATCAAACTGAAGGGACCCTCTATCCAACTAGGTACAGTATGGCAGTGATTTACTCGGTGTTACGCAGGCGATACAACACGAAAGAAACCGTGTACTGTACACGCCCGCTCTGCACACGCCGCCAGCCAACCACAAACAAGAATAGCGCTGTCTGGTAACTAACTACCGGCGCGTACCGCCGCGGACGCTGTCACCTACACGCCGGTGTCCGCACTCAACCCGCCTGTCGTCGCTGCTGCAGGCTCTGCCTCGCGCTCGCCACCTGCCACGGGGGCGTTAGAAGGCGACTTAGCCGCTGGGTCGACTGCGGCAACGCCCTCCGTCTTAGCGGCAGCATCCAGGGCCTGTGGTTTCGACACTACCGGCGCCTCCCGCACATTGGCTTTGACGACAGCTGGGTCCTCCTGGACTTCGGGTTTGACGACCGCTGGCGGCACTTCTGGGGTTTCGTGTTTATCAACGGCTGGCGCTGCCGGGGCATCGGGTTTGACGATCGCTGGCGCCACCTGGGCCTCGGGTTTGACTATTGCTGTCGCTTCTTGAGCCTCAGGTTTGACAACCGCTGCCGCCGCCGGGGCGTCGGGTTTGACGACCGCTGGCGCCACCGAAGTCTCGGGTTTGACGACCGCTGGCACCGCCGGGGATTCGAATTTGACGACCGCTGGCGCCACCGAAGTCTCAGGTTTGACGACCGCTGGCGCCGCCGGGGCTCCGGGTTTGACTATCGCTGGCGCCGCCGAAGTCTCGGGTTTGACGACCGCTGGCCCCGTCGGGGCCTCGGATTTGACGACCGCTGGCGCCACCGGGGCCTCGGGTTTGAACATCGCTGACGCCATCGAAGTCTCGGGTTTGACGACCGCTGGCGCCGCCGGGGCCTCGGATTTGACGACCGCTGGCGCCGCCGGGGCCTCGGATTTGACGACTGCTGACGCCGCCGGGGCCTCGTGTTTGACGACCGCTGGCGCCGCCGGGCCCTCGGGTTTGACGACCGTTGGCGCTCGCGAGACCTCGAGCGGCTTGACCGCATCAGCCACCTCCGCCCCCTCAGAAGCGGTCGGCGCTTTGAGCGCACCGCCGGCCTTAGCGACGTCCGGGGCGGGGATACGGGGCGGCTCATTAGTAGCTGACGGCGTTACCGAGCTCGGTGGTTTGACGGCGTTCGATACGCCATCGGCCTTCGGCTGTTTGACATCGGGGGCTGCTGCGTCACGTGCCACTTTCTCGTCGCCGTATGACGCGGCGGCGGCGGGCCGACGACGCGGCCGCCGACGGCGCCGGCTCGCTCTTGCCCGTCTCGGCGGCCGGCCTGGCGTCGACCGGCGTCTGGCCGCGGTGCGGCTCGTCCGGCCGCGCGTCCGAGTCGTCCCGCTCGCGGCCCTTGTAGCGCTCCACCACCAGGTCGTCGCTGATCGTGCGCAGCTTGTCGGCGTTGGCGACCAGCTCGGCGGCTGCCTCCGCCGACCTGAGCCGCACGAAAGCCATGCCACGGCGGCCCTTCCAGGCGATGGTGGGCTCGATGGCGCCGGCCGCCTGCAGCGCGTCGCGCAGCTCGCGCACGCGCGTGCTGGCCGGCAGGCGGCCGACGAACACGGTGAGATCGGCCTCCTCGGCGGTGACGGCGCGCGGCCCGGGCCGGCGGCGGCCGGCGCTGTGCGAACGTTCGGGTCGGGGCGCCGGCGGCGCCGCCCGGTGTCGCTCGTAGCGCTCTAGCAGCACCGGCTCGTTCACCAACCGGAACTGGTCGCCCACGGCCAGCAGCTGATCGACGGCGTCGGCGGCGCGCAGGCGCAGCAGCGCCACGCCCTGGCGGCCCTTCCACGACAGGATGGTGGCCGGCGAGTCGGCCGCCACGATAGCCTCGCGAAGGTCGCGCGGCCGCGCGTCCGACGGGATGCGCCGCACCAGCACCGTCAGACCGTCGGCGTGGTCGATCGGCGGCCGGTCCCGGCGCGCGCGCGGCCGCCGGCCCGGCTCCTCGTCGGCCCGACTGGCGGCTGGAGTCGGCGCCGTCGTGCGGCGCGGCGCGCGGCACCGGCCGGCGCCGGCGGCGCGGCTCGCGGCGCGCCTCCTCCTCCGGCTCCTCCTGCGCGTCGCTGTTTGTTCCGTCGTTGGTGGCGCGCCGGCGGCGGCGGCCGGCCAGCGGGCGCCGCCGCCGCCGCTTCTCGCCGCCCTCGTCGTCCGCGTCGCTGTAGGGCAGGCCGGCGTCGCCGGCTCCCTGCTCCTCGCGGCGCCGCCGCGGCCCGCCCGGCTCGCCGCCAGAGCGCAGGCGGCGCGTCTTGCGGGCCGCCGCCTCCACCAGCTCGTCGTCGGTCGGCTCGCCCAGGGTCACGTCCTTCCCCGCACTGCAACCACAAGGACCGTCGCGTTACGACCGCTCACCAATAAGATCACAACGCGGTGCACTACACGCCGCACCATACGCCATGATGATCACGCCGACCACCGGGGATGCCGATCAGGGACCGCGCCGCCACCAGTCGTCCAGCCCCGCCCCCAGACCCGACGCTGACAGAGACCAGGAAGGACCGTGGGGTGAACAGCACGCGCTCTCCGCTCAAGACACCGTCGAACCCTTCAGTGACTGCATGCGGGGCCCGTTCCGGTAGCTCAGTTGGTTAGAGCGCCTGCCTTCCGATCCACCCACCCGCGGCGGAGTGGGCTCGGGTCGCTTTAGACGCTCGCTATCCGTCTCTTTGAGATGTATGGCCTGCGGCCGGTGGCAGCGGCCGCACTGGAGGTCAGTTGACGTCACAGGGCGGGGCGGACCGTGCCGAGCAGCGCGGCACGTTAAACTTCCGCCACCAAATTCTGCCGTTGCCCTGGCGTTGCACGATCAGATGGTAAGGTTCGGGGCTCATACAACAGACACCGCTTAGCATGAGCTCTAATCTCAGAAATCCATCCAAAAACGTTCAGATAAAATATAACAAATACGTCATCTGCCTCGGCTGCCTTGTACCCCCCCCCCCCCCAACCCGCCGCCCCACCCGGCGGAGTGTGGCCATCGGCACACACGCGTGGCCGCCGCCACCAAGCGGTACTCACGCCTGTTCCACCTCCCGCAGCGCCTTAAGTATGGGGATGGCCTTGAGCTTGCGCGGCGTCACCAGCTTCCAGATGATGCCGGACGGCTTGGCGTGCCGCTGGCTGACCTGGATGACCTGCGTCGGGGTCACGATCATGTCCACCGTCAGGTCGTGCGCGCCGAACAGCTCCGGAGGCAGGTAGTCGAACACCTGCGGCGGAGGGACAGCCGGGTCACTGGCCGGTCACGCCCGCGCGCACAGCGGCAGTCGCCCCCGTCGAGAGATGCGGTAGGCGCGCCGAGCCGGCCCGCTCTGCCTCGTGTGTTGTGCGACAGACGGCGGTACCCGGTCCGTGCCAGACACGACAAACGGGAGTACCTCGTGTGTGGTATAACCGGCGGACGTACCTTGTGTGCGGCACAAGTTACAGGCAGACGTACCTTGTGTGCGGCACAACAGGCGGACATACCTTGGGTGCGATACAACAGGCGTAAGTGCCTTGTGTGCGGTACAACAGGCGGACGTACCTTGTGTGCGGTACAACAGGCGGGCGCACCTTGTGTGCGGTACAACAGGCGGACGTACCTTGTGTGCAACACAACAGGCGTACGTGCCTTGCGTGCGGTATAACAGGCGGACGTCACAACAGGCGTAGGTACCTTGTGTGCGGTACAACAGGCGGACGTACCTTGTGTGCGGTACAACGGGCGGACGTACCTTGTGTGCGGCACAACAGGCGTAGGTACCTTGTGTGCGGTACAATAGGCGTACGTACCTTGTGTGCGGTACAACAGGCGGACGTACCTTGTGTGCGGTACAACAGGCGGGCGTACCTTGTGTGCGGTACAACAGGCGGACGCACCTGGTCGTCGTGGACGGTGGTGATGACGAGCGTCTCTTCCGACACGGCGCCGGCGCCGCGCGCCATGGCGTACTCCAGGTCAGCGTAGCCCTCGCCCTTGCCGATCCGGTACCCTGCGAGCGCGAGGTCAGAGGTCAAAGGCGGGGTCAGAGGCCAGGCGGCCGATCAAGACGCGGGCGGTGGGCGCGGCTTGCAGCGGGGACGAGGACGTGAAAGGTCACACAAACGGCAGGTGGCGCAGGTTGTTCTTCCCCCGCGGCGACAGCTGGTCCGTATCATGCGATATTGTGGTCTCAATGTAAACAGATCGAAATCCTGTGTTGACCGCTGCCCACTGTCCAAGGTACGGACCAGGTTCTGGGGAAGGGAGAAGGGAGCGAGGGAGAGAGGAAGGGAGAAAGAGAGAAAAGGGAAGAGGGAGAGGGGTGGGAAGAGAGGGAGGTCGTCGAGCGATTCATAGCGTTCCTGCTGACTTTCAAGTCCCAAATTGGGTCCAAGTAGAGACGACATGGCTACACCAGCGGCCAACAGGACGGGTCACCGTTAACGGGTCGAGCTCGATCATTTTCTATCGAGCGAACGTTACCGACAACAACAGAACATTGACACCAAAGCAGGCCACCGCGGGCGGCGAGTCCGATGGCTGCCACCGCTACAGGCGCTGTATGCGCCCCCGCTCTCTCTCTCTCCTCTCTCTCTCTCTCCTCTCTCCTCTCTCTCCTCTCTCCTTCTCTCTCTCCTCTCTCTCCTCCCATCTCCTCTCTCTCATCTCTCTCTCTCTCTCTCTCTCTCTCTCTCTCTCTCCCTTCCCTCCCTCCCTCCCTCCCTCCCTCCCTCCCTCCCTCCCTCCCTCCCTCCCTCCCTCCCTCCCTCCCTCCCCTCCCTCCCTCCCTCCCTCTCGCCTCTCTCGCCTCTCGCTCTCTCTCTCTCTCCTCTCTCCTCTCTCTCTCTCTCTCTCTCTCTCTCCTCTCTCCTCTCCTCTCTCTCCTCCCTCCCTCCCTCCATCCCTCCCTCCCTCCCTCCCTCCCCCCGCCCCCCCTCCCTCCTCCCTCTCGCTCTCTCGCTCTCTCGCTCTCTCGCTCTCGCTCTCTCGCTCCCTCTCCCCCGCTCCCTCTCTCTCGCTCTCGCTCGCTCTCTCACCGTCTTTGGAGACGGCCACCGAGCCGACCACGATCAGATCGACGGGCACAATGTTGTCGAGCCCGATGGGCGTGCTGAACTTGCGCACGCCCTCGGCGCGCGCCACGCGGTGCAGGTCCTCCTTAGCCGGGCTGGGCGGCAGCAGCCGGTTGAACAGGCCGTGCCGCAGCCGCGGCGTTGGCACCAGCACCGTCTTCTCCACCTGCCGCGTGGCGGCGCCGGCGGCAGCCGCGTCAGTGTCACCGAGTGTCAACAGTCTCCGACATCGTGAGGTTCGCCAGTCGATGTTGTCGTCAACATTCGTCAACATAACATCAACCATCAGGATGCCATCAGTCTGAGCGTTATCAGTGTGATTCTGCGTCGCCGGCCGAGCAGTTATCATTTATCAGCGTCACGCACCTTGAGGACTGTCAGTCATTATCGTCATTAATGTCGCCAGCCGTGGCAGCCATCAGTTATCAGGGTCGTCAGCAATAGGCCTACGCCACTGCTCCTCGGAGGCAGTAGTCATAACGAATCTAGGTGTCAGCGGCCATCAATCAACAGGTCCACCATCGCTCCACTTAGCACGGCACGTTCCGTCCTCATGGGACCTCACACAAAGCCTGCCAAAAATCAGGTGCGCACACGGCTACGCAGAGGCCACCTCTCACCTCCATGGCCAGGAAGCGGACCGTCTCCTGCGGCTTGTCCGGGTTCACCTTCACCACCTTCGCCTCCTTGAATTCGCTGAGGGCGGCCAGCGTGTGGGCGGCCGCCGGCGCGCCCTTGAAGTTCGGTATCCTGCCACAGCGCGGATGATGTCAGCAGCGGCGCGGCAGCCGCGCCCCGCCCGGGGAGCATGAGTCGAGGCGCCTCGGGCGACCCGATCCGACCACCTCCTGCGTCAGCGCGTCCGACAGGGGCCGCTCTGCTCGAGCTGCTTTCCTATCAGATACAGCGTCTCATCTCTGCAGGAGTCAAACGCCGTGATAATCCGCACCATACTCGCACTTGATCCGATAAAGAGCCACAATGCAATCAGGAATCACACACATTTCCTGCGAATCAAGCGTGGCTGAAATGACCTGCCTTCGGCGTCCTCTGAATTTTCATTCGGTTGGTATGTAAATTAGTTGAAGCAACGCTGGCGGACGACTTAAATTGGCTTAACCACTGCACCCTCGCAGTGCTGCAGTGGTCAAGCTCATTGCACCGGCACCCTTTACATGGAAGCAATCGTAATTATAATCACGTCAATTCCAATTCCCGTTCTTCACCATTTCGCTCGAATTGGGAAGAACCCAAATGAGTCCTGGTAATTTGCTTGAACGACCGGATAACTGAAATGTCAAGCTTGATTAGAATAACCAATCGGCTGCAAATAATTTTGAGACAGAATCGAATGGGATCCGTCAAGCCGAGCCAACCACAGGTTTGACTCGCACCATCAACTCTCCCAGTTCACGCATTATCTCAAAACCCGACACCACCGAAGCCGTGTCCGGGCGGTGACGTCACCACCACCACGTCATGGCGCGGGTGACGTCACGGCCGTCAGGTGGAGCGGAACCAATGGGGCCCGGGCGGGCCGGGAGCGACACCTGCTGGCGCCGCCCACCGCACGGGCCAGCGGGCTCGCCAAACACGACACCGGCCGGGCGGGCCAGCAGCTCCGGCAGCTCGTGTTCGCGCCCACACCAGCCGCGCCGCAGTCCGCTCCGCCGCTGCCGATCACAGCCTAGAGCACGGACCCGATCCGGCACGCCGATCACAGCACAGCGAGCCGTGCACAGATCAGCCCAGTGCAGCGGTAGAGATCAGCCCAGTGTAGCAGTAGAGATTAGCCCAGTGTAGCGGAGGAGATAAGCCCCGTGCAGCGGTAGAGATCGGCCCAGTGTAGTGATAGAGATCAGCCCAGTGTAGCAGTAGAGTTCGGCCCAATGTAACGGTAGAGATCAGCCCAGTGTAGTAGTAGATATCAGCCCAGTGTAGCGGTAGAAATCAGCCCAGTGCAGCGGCAGAGATCAGCCCAGTGTAGCGGTAGGGATCGGCCAGTGCAGCGGTAGAGATCAGCCCATCGTAGCGATAGAGATCAGCCCAGTGTAGCGGTAGAAACCAGCCCAGTGTAGGGGGCACATGACCTTCGGGAGAAGACATGGCCCACCTCCTCCATTCACCGGGCCGGAACAGCCACGCGGTCCGCCTATCACGCTAGTTCGGTGCAATGCCGCGTGCCGCATTCAGTTTCACATCAGATAGTCCCACAAGACGTAGCAGCTTGTGTTTCCCCGTCGCACTCCCAAAAGGCCCACAGCCCCTAGCCAGGGTCCCAACACTTCAGGCCCACAGTCCCTAGCCAGGGTCCCAACACTTCAGGCCCACAGCCCCTAGCCAGGGTCCAACACCTCAGACCCACAGCCCCTAGCCAGGGTCCAACACTTCAGGCCCACAGCCCCTAGCCAGGGTCCCAACACTTCAGGCCCACACCCCTAGCCAGGGTCCCAATACTTGACACCAGTTGACATCAGTCGTGAAGCAGTGGTGATATGCTTGGTTGCGTACGTAGCAGCAATGTATCATCTTTTACCACGTTCATTGCCACGAGTCATGACCAGTTGGTCATGGGATACGCTGCTGCAGCTCGGCTGTCGGAGCCCTTCCTCCGCGCTGCGAATGGCTCCTCCTGCCCGGCAGAGACCCGAGGCGAGGGCCTCAGGCCGCGGAGCTGGGTCGCAGCCGGTGCCGGCAGCTCCCCGAGCCTGGCAGGCCTGAGAGATCGGGCAGAGTCCCGAGGGGAGGGCCTCAGGCCGCGGAGCTGGGCCGCAGCCGGTGCCGGCAGCTCCCCGAGCCTGGAAGGCCTGAGAGATCGGGCAGAGTCCCGAGGCGAGGGCCTCAGGCCGCGGAGCTGGGTCGCAGCCGGTGCCGGCAGCTCCCCCGAGCCTGGCAGGCCTGAGAGATTCGGGCAGAGTCCCGAAGCGAGGCTCAGGCCGCGGAGCTGGGCCGCAGCCGGTGCCGGCAGCTCCCCGAGCCTGGCAGGCCATGAGAGATCGGGCAGAGTCCCGAGGCGAGGGCCTCAGGCCGCGGAGCTGGGGCCGCAGCCGGTGCCGGCAGCTCCCCGAGCCTGGCAGGCCTGAGAGATCGGGCAGAGTCCCGAGGCGAGGGCCTCAGGCCGCGGAGCTGGGCCGCAGCCGGTGCCGGCAGCTCCCCGAGCCTTGGCAGGCCTGAGAGATCGGGCAGAGTCCCGAGGCGAGGCCTCAGGCCGCGGAGCTGGGCCGCAGCCGGTGCCGGCAGCTCCCCGAGCCTGGCAGGCCTGAGAGATCGGGCAGAGTCCCGAGGCGAGGCCTCAGGCCGCGGAGCTGGGCCGCAGCCGGTGCCGGCAGCTCCCCGAGCCTGGCAGGCCTGAGAGATCGGGCAGAGTCCCGAGGCGAGGGCCTCAGGCCGCTGAGCTGGGCCGCAGCCGGTACCGGCAGCTCCTCGAAACCTTACAGGCCTGACAAGACCCGACCTCTGGCCCCGGCGCAGCCAGCGCGCCCACTGGAGCGGCCGCCGCTCACCGCTCGCCACCCCTCCCAAGGCTATCCGGGACTGGGCGGACCGTGACGAGGTGCGACACGGCATCGCAGGCGGGGGCGGACAGCAGCCAGGTCGCCTCCGCAGCCCTTTGACGCCGCATGCCAGGGATGACGTTAGCGTCTCGGAAACATGATGACGGCTCCAGATGACGTTTAGCATTCCCGTACCACACATCCAGGATGCGATTTGACATTCGGCATACGATTCAAACTACTGTACATCTGACACAAGTATACGGTCACATAAACGTGAGGCATTCAAGAGCGTGGACGTGACGGGAAGAAAAAAATTTCCCGTTCAATACGCTGGAACCAGGACGGTCGCTCCAGACGTGGCCAATATTCTAGAGCCATGAACGCATCTTGATGTACACTTAACTGATGTGTTTGGCGTGATTTATCGATATGCGTGTATTAAGTGTCGCACAGGCTTATGCAATGCGATAAATCGCACCTATATGCCGAACAGGATTAATTGTTTATTCCTGAAAAAGCCACGCATACAACAATAAACAGCCGGGCGGGCCTGTTGGCACGGGCTCCACGTGCGCCCCATCGACTACCGGTCTATTCATAGCCGGCATCCGGCGGCGCGCGGCCGCGTTCGTCCGGAACACGTGCGCACCTCGCGCCCCGCTGACGGCCGCGCGACGGACGGCGGCGACGACGGCAGCGCTCGTGCGACGTCCTCCACCTGCGGCCGGCGGGCAGCTGCAGGCCCGACGGCCGGTCGCACGCCGGGGCCCATCGCCGTGCCGCGCCCGACCGAACGGCCGCCACCCGCCGAACGGCACGGCGCAGCGCTGGATCTCGCCGCCGCCCACCCGACCGCGCCGGACGGGCCGAGCGCCGGCGGAACAGGAACAACGCAAACGAGCTCCGAATGGCGGCTTTTTAGAAGGGAAGCGGAACACGCACCGCCGCTTTTGAGGACGTCAGCGACTGTGGCACTCTTATTCGATCCCAGGGGCCATGGCGCAACCGAGGTTCGAGCCCAGGCCCCGGCACCACCATATGTGAGGCGACGGCGACCCACTAGGTTACTACACTCACACCTGACGGGCCCAAACCGGCTGGACACAAACCCAGATATCAAAACTGTCATTGGCCAGAGACATGCGCGGTGCGCGCCATGCGTAGATCAACGCACCACGCATATGCACAATGTTTCATGCTCCAAACCTACTCTATCGACCCAACCTGGGCCTATGCTTCCCTCATCGGCCATACCGATGACCAATGAAGAACTGACGGGCGTGGTAACTGATACCCATTCAAACCCCAGAGGAGGTGGAGGGGGGGGGGGGCGGAGGTTAAAGGTCATTGTACGAACTCCACAGAACTTATATCAAATTTCTGCAAAGTCGCCTGATATGTGGTGTAAATTTCTTAGCTCAGGCCGCAGGGAGGGGTAGGAGGAAGCACCCCTATGGATTCCTACTTTACTACGCACGGGGGTCTGCAGCGAAATGGTCATGACCTGGATCTTGCCCATTTTGGCCTCCAGCGCGCGTTAACGGCGAATTGGGTAGCAGTTCAAAATACATTGGCAGCGCATCAGTGAGAGCGCCAGTTTAATGTATCGCTCAATGACTGGACGTCCGCTATATCGATATACAACTGTTTCTGACACCCTGTGGCAGGACAGGCCAGCCGTACGTTGTCATCGCCTTGCCAATACGACCCTCCCAGCCGGCGGTAAGGTCACGTGGTTACGTCTGCACCCGGCACTACATGGCCCGAGGATATAAACAGGCAAAGGCATTAGGGCGGTGTTCTGGGGTGGCCGTGCCAGGTGCGGCGGGCAGCGCTGCTTCAGATATGCATGTTTGAACCGAGCGGGCATTGTGGACCTAAGCCCGGGATGATGGTTTACCAATGCAGCTAGTTGGGACGATTTTATGAAAGTAAGGAAATGCAGTGTATGCATTTTTTGATCAATATGCGTGCTTTCCAAACGTCAAAGGTAAGCCATTTAGATCAGGCACAATAGAAGTGTTATTTATATTTTTGTGACCAACACAACCCAGGCGTCAAATAAATTTGAACTATGCAACCACAACGGTTCAATGACAGACATGATGGCACAAATTATGACCAGCATAAGATAAAAGATCAAAGCAGTCTGAACCAGCCTGGCACGATCCGACGAGTCTTGAAAATATGCCATTCGAATGCTCACATTAATTTGATTTAGCAGTTCTGTGCAGTTTTCAAAGCCAAAAATTGCATGACTCTTACACTGCTCACTGTAATATTTACCACATGTGTGCACACAAGCTGTTGGATTTTAAAAATTGTCATGTTGCAATGAAATGATTCAAACAACCATTTTCAATTAATTTGTTTCTCTACCACTATAGAAGGCAAATGGAACTTTTCGTATTTTCCATTGAAGGACCACATTTCAGACCACACTGTTTCTCCCTTAATCTGGATTTCTTCACGGAATTCCACCTTTCAATCTAAATGCATGTGACTCATTGCATGATTTATTTACATGGGTCATTTCATGTCAAAGCATGGATGCTGCCACAACCAAGCAAGGGAAATCATTTTTACTGTGACTTGCTGGCAGAAAATAATTTGTCATCACCACTGTTGGTATGTGCATCAAATTAACATACAAATATAATTGATATTGTGAGGCCATGTCTAGTCAAAACACCTTGCAGTGTCAATTGTTGCCAAAATACTTATCAGAAAACCAGAGATGACTTCTCCTCCCATCGGTCAGAATCGGGCAATCAGCATCAAACTGGACGGCAGTCAAGTCACTATCCAGGCAGCTCCAAATGTCAGTTTGAAAGCAAAGGGCAACAGACTAATGGTCAATAAAATGTATGCATGGAGGCGGGCAAACAGCCTGAAGTCTGGTAGCATGGATTTACATTAACACCCTGACAATCCTAGTAGGCAAATTTTGGAACACTCCTCACAATGCTATGTAATGGCATGAACCTGTAAGCCCACCACCAGCAACAATTCTAAAACTGGCCTCCTTGAAAGGAAAAGAACATGTTTCCACACACTCAAACAAGTATGCTGGCAAATCACTTGAGAACACACACTGAATTTCATGCAGGGGATAGCACATGCCACATAACAAAAGTTATGCATGCATCAATATTACCTCTGGCTACTTTCTCACACAAAACCAGTTAGCAAATGTCATCACACAGTGAAAATTGTCATTGACACAAACCTTGCTGAACACTCACCTATTGTGAACAGGTCTTGGAAATTCAGCCAGGTCATTATGTTCTAAGTGGTCCCAAACCTTGCGCCGAAAGTCATTCTTAGTCACCAAGGCCCCTGAGGCCATCACTGAAAAAAACAAAACAAACTGTGTTACAGGATACAGTTGGAATAATATTCCCCAAAAGCAAGCATACAATTCTGAGTATGTCAGGCTAATTTTTAACCCCCAAACAGCTGCACCTACAACACTTTTTCCTGCCTATATGCTGCAGCAATGCTACAGACTGGTATACTGTAATTCCTATAAACACATAACTACTACAAATATGCAACAAACAACAAAATTGCTACATGCAAATCATCTTGACACATGATGCTTACACAACAAGATCAAACAAAATAATAGCATCCACTGACATGGGTTATGTTTGAGGCAATTCATATGACTCATTTTGTTTTATTACCCATCATTGTACAGACAGCAAGCTCTGAGACAATTACGCACACTTGGACATATTTTTAGCTAATGATAATACATTGACATCTGAATGGTAAAACACAATGAAATTCACTCAAGAAATAACTTTCCTGTTTTGACTTTGCCACTTAGACATCCTAAACTCTTCAAACTGATTTGTTGTTACCTGTCTGCAATGCCAAAAAATATCCCACCCCATTTAGCATCGTTCCCAGAGCATAACCTTTCCTTCATCACGCTGTGGTGTAAAGGTGAACTATGGGCAAAATCAAAATGAACAAACACCTCCTAAAACTAGCCTTCTTCAGATGATTATAACAAAACAAGATTTGAGGCACTTGATGTGAAGAAAACAAAACTTTTGATACCTGAGAGTGCCTGAAATGTAAAGATTTGGTTTTAACAAGACATACAATGGGAGGCAATCCCCCTGATGAAAGTGCCACAAAAGTAGAAGCACTGCATCAGCCATTAGGATTAAATGATTTATTCAACACCCAACCATTTAGCATTGATTTTTCTGCAATTGATTGCTGTGGGGGTCAACAAGCTCTTTCCTGAGAATCAGGCTAAAAAACCAGACATTTCAGCTCATCTTATGGTTGTAAGGCAAATACCCTCCAAACTGAGCTAGAATGCCCTCTTGGCAGCACATGCCCTACTTCCTATTTGATGTCAAACAGAAAGGCCTTCCATCCTGCTATTTTGACATTATGAGTTCACAGTTCTTACAATGAGTTCTTAACATTTAATCTACCATGAGGTACCAGTCAAATAACATTATGATGCTAAATAAGAATTAACCTGAATGCCATCATTCTAAATACCATTTAGCATTACATGATATAACCAGCACCCCCAGGTATATTGAAGGTTCTTAGCCTGAGATAAGAAATTCAATCATATTTCCTACTCCTGACTCATTCTATGTTTTAAACCTCTGGGCCTAGGTTTTGAATTCATGCTTTGCCTGGTGAGATAACAGCCTGTGGTGTCACACAGATAACCTGCATTATATGTGGTGTGAAAGAACATCTCTACATCCAGAGATGGGCAAGATGCAGAATCTGCTGATCCATCATATGGACACATGCAGCTCACAGAAGTCATGCACTTAAATATTATATTTTTACATTTTTGCTCAGCATCTGATAAGTTACATGGTAAAAACATCATTGTTGATCACATTATCCACAAAACTATCCACTTGCCAGACATAAAAAGCCATCAGCAGCATGTTGACCATTGCTGCATAAATGCCCAGAATTACCATGCTTAACATAGTTACCATACCATTCTACATATCTCTTAGCCATGTAAAGAAATGGTTGAATGGGTAACATCACAAGTGAGTCAGGTAGTGATGTCATGTGTCAAAAGGGCTCACTATACATAATAAACAAGGAGTAAATTGACTTCTACTTGCCAATAAAAAGGCATTGATATGATTTGCATAGTCTAGAATGGATGAGACATATCTTGTTCTCAACAATGCATTAGCATGCAGTGATCCCAATCCAGGCCAATGGCAAGATCAAGTATTGCTGATACCTTCATACAACTGAAAGGCTCTATGACATTCATTGCACACACCATGAAGTTGTCATAAATTGGGTGGCTTCAGCATGAGTTATAACACACAACATTTATATCACTGGATAATAACTATGCTACTTACAAAGTGAATGTTGTAGTGATTAACCAGCATGCAGCATGGGGAAAAATACACACTGTCATGCTCCCAAGATTAAGCCTGCCCACCAGTTTCCAGAATTGCAACTTTCCCACAACAGACACAATAGCTTGTGTTCAAACATCCAGCCATTCAAATCAAAACACTCCTAGAATCTGGAAAATAGCCCCCTTTGCATGGCCAGGTTGCAAAAGACCTGTTACTTTGGATGTATCACCAAAGCAGCCACAGCACAGAAACAATTTTAGTATACAAGATGCCATTAACCTGAGTAGCCAGCATTCTGTGCATGGTTCCTGGGAACTAAATTGCAAAGAAACCCACTGATCAGACCTTCTGTTGCTAAGGTTAATACATGCTAAGATAACCTAAGCAAACCCTGTTGTTTGTGGAACTATTTGTAGCATGCTAACAAAAAGCTACATCCAAACACTTGGACAACAAATAAATACAGGCTTATACAATCTCCAATTAACTCTGAAGAATGAGAGCACCAACATTCAACAAATATACGATTAGCAGTATGCAGATTGCCCCTGCCAACATTTCGATGGAATTCCGAAGGGAGGCAAATACCTAATATGTCTTGAAGCTCAGAATCTTGACCACACGACACTAGTCGCACGCTGTCAGATAGGATATATCTGTAAAATTATTGTCTGATGGCACACAGGTCAACAGCACTTCCGCGGTACTCCGGTGCTCAATCGACGCCGCAGCGATCTAAGGCAGGGCATTTACTTTGTTTGCGCTATAATTGTCGGAAAGCATGCGTCCTAATGCTGGACAAAACTTAGGCGTACACTTTCTGGCAGCTATCATATTTCTTTCATTTTAGTTATTATTCAATAATATTTGATCATTAATAAAATATCTGTGGCTGCTGTCAGATACAAACTGTATTCCAAGGTGTGATAAATGTATTTTGATTTGTCTAAATTATACATTAAGCAATATGTTAGACATGCCGCGATCAAGTAGTGTAGTGTGAGCCGAACCAATGTTAAAAAGTTATAAAACTGGAATTAGATATAAAAACTTGAAAAAATCTCGAGCAGTTACTAATTCAATATTTTCACGAAATTACACCTCATTGAAGTTCCAAATATGTTCATACGTATTTTGTCCTTTACTAGTTATGCCGGTTGCTGCAAATCCTGGCGCACTTGCACTATGAAGACTTCAGTTAAACGCGATACTGATGTTCAGCTAGGTGCGCGACTGCTGATTGGCTGCGGGTGCCGGCCGAAGTATCAACTGGCTGAGGAAGAGCGAGGCGCCTGCAAGGTAGATGGGCTTGCCATGTTATAGCCAAGTCTGATTGATAGGTGATGCCAAGAACCTGAAATTACATGTGCTCACAGAATACGTATTTCAGGAAAACACATTCTGTAATTCCATTGGAAATGTGGTAATAATGTTGGTGTGTACTGTTGGTTTTTGCATGCGATACTGTGTTACCTTACATTGTTACAACCAAAAAAATGCAGCAGATACAAATGATAACAGTTAGTAATGCCAATGCCAATCTGAGTCCTGGCTGCATGCTTTGCCATGTAGGTATTGGGAATTGTGCTCTCACCCATGTAATAACGTTGCAATTTGACAAGACTTTTGTGCCAATGATTTGGTTGACCAGTTTGTTTTCAGATTATTTGATCTCACACAGGCCTGACTGTTCGTGGAGCCAGGACATTATCTGCTGACTCATCATCAAGGTTACAACATGAGTGGAGGAGTTTATGGAGGAGGTTTGTACATGCAACTACACATAGACTATCCATACACCATGCCACTCATAACCACTCATTTTTTAGTCCCTCTGCTCCTAATGTTGCCCTGGTTATGCTGGGCAAGAATCTCATCTCTCCCTGGTTGCATTGTTAAAACATCAAATATTTTAGCATGGCTACAAACCAAACCTGTGCATAACATTAGACTGTTCAAAATTTATCTTCCCTTGCTACACTTTGGATATGCTCCATAAATAACATAACATGTGCATGGCCCCTATGCAACATCACATATTATCCTCTGCTGAGACTGGGCAAGCAAAATGGGCAAGACCGACGCAAGAATGCTGAGCAAAATGACCCCAGTAATCAGCACATCCTGAAACCCTAATTATCATCATCATCCTATGCCAGGGTCCAAATCAGATCAGGAATGCTGCCATGAGAGAAGGTAATGCCAGCTCTGGACATCAAAGGGGAAATTTCAAAGGCTTGCTATGTAGGTGGCAATCTGTGGCACCACAGATATGCCTGAATAATAATGGTCTTTAATTCCATTTATGGACATTGGAGGAATCAGCTGATTCAACACCAAGTGGACATTTGGCTTGCAGGAATAGTGCACTTGAATGGTGCACTTGGTGTACATGAATATTGTCTTATGAATAGTTGTTCACAAGCTGTGTGGCTAAATACATAATCATCAATCACACCATCCACAATAAGTCCAGACCTGCCTATTTCCTCAACATACAGAACATCCATGGTTGCAGGCATTGGTATGTCAACACAACTGCCCTGTAAACAAAAGACTTATTTGACTGCCACCTGAGAAGGAAATATGCTTGGGCAAAGATGTCGTAGATAAGGAATGGGTTTACCCCAAGGCAGGTAATGGTCTTCCTTTTGCCAATGCAGAATGGATATCAAAAGGATCTGGCAGTATAATGAGAAGTTTCTCCTTTGCAGATGAAAAGGACACAAATGCAGCATGCTGCAGTCAATACCATTGTCTCCAACTTGGAAGTCCTGCTGCTCTGAGAACATGCAGATTGAACACAGAAGTACTGGTATCATCACCAGCCATCAGTATCCACATTCACTGGGTGTAACTATCCACCCCCAGTGCCAACATTAACATCCATTTTCTGTCCTGCAGATGAGGTGGGGGCACTGGTGTTTGACCTGGGTCACTACTCGCTGCGCGCGGGGTACGCCGGTGAGGAGGCGCCCAAGTCGGAAATCCCGGCCACAGTTGGTGTGCTAGATGAAGCGGCAACTGGTGCAGCACTCGATGTCGCCATGGAGGTGGACGGCGCAGGCGGCAAGGATGCCGCCGCCCACCGCAAGTACTACATCGACACCAACGCGCTGCACGTGCCCAAAAAAGGTCAGCTGGCAGTGACTAACAGTGTGTAGAGTTTGTTGGCTGTATGCAGCCATTTGTCTCATTTTGTGGCCACCAGATGTCTTGTAGCTGAAGAGTGGGCCGATTATTAGCAGAAAAAAGTGAGAGGGTCTGGAACACCTCCCAGGAAATTGTTTGCTCAGCATTTCTGTGGTTATTTTTGGCATACAATTACATCACCTGAATGTATACATTCACCAAATATCATAAAGACCCTGACACTTTTTACATCAATCTAACGTTTTTGGGACACATGCCTGACCAGAGAAGTGATGTCGTCACAGATGACGGTATTCTGAAGTGAATTCGCAGTCATGGCTGTGAGTGTCGGCCGTTTGTTTCAGACGTGGAGGCGGTGAGCTATATGAAGGATGGCATGATCGACGACTGGGACCTGTTCGAGAAGGTCCTCAGCTACACCTACTCACAGTGCATCAAGTCTGACTCAGAGCTGCACCCGGTGCTCATGTCTGAGGCGCCCGTGAGTAGCCGCTGTCTGCGTGGGGCGTCCGCCGCGCGGCCACGCCCGCGGCGGCCACTGCCGACATGGCCAACCCGCTCTGGTGGCGCTGCCCGCTGTCCAGCCAGGTGCGGCCACTAGGGCAGCGCCATGGCCGGGCTTTTGCTTTGCGCCTGCTTTTGGAGGCACATTCCGCTCAGCTGTTAATGCTGGTGCTCAACCCGTGTTATAGTACTCAAGCTGGGTGGGTGGGACAAGGAGGTGCTGGAGGCGAAGCTTGAATGTCCTGGTGATTTGCTGTGCGGGTAGTAATGACTTCAGTTGAGCTCTTGTGTGACGATGCAGGGCCTTGAGATGAAAGCTGCGCGAAGGCGGCGGGGTAAACCAGTCTGCTATGAGGTCAGCTCCTTCAGCATGTCATGGTCGGCCATTCGTGGGATCACCATAACCTACACCTAACCCTTCCAATGATCGGAGACTCCGCTATCGACACTGCAAGCCCAGACACTGTTTCCGTACAACTGACATACGTGCACCCCCTGAAGCGTAGCCGCCGTAACGGAAACGCCTTCCCCGACAGCGGGACCACTGTAACAGACGCTTGGCCATTCCCGACAGTTGGACCACTGTCTGACACCCGTACATCACCGACAATGGAACCACTGTAGCCGACACCGGCTCAAATCCGACATTGGGGTACTAGCCGACACCCGCCCATCCCCAATAGTGGGACCGCTGCAACCAATGCCCTCATCCTCGGCACCGTAACCATGGTAACCGCTCGTCACTCACGCCGACAGTGGAACCACCGGGGGCGGCGCGAGAAGCTGACCGAGCTAATGTTCGAGAAGTACAACGTGCCGGCCTTCTTCCTGGTCAAGAACGCCGTGCTGGCGGCCTTCGCCAACGGCCGCTCGACCGCGCTGGTGCTGGACAGCGGTGCGACGCACACCTCGGCGGTGCCCGTCCACGACGGCTACGTGCTCACGCAAGGCATCGTCAAGAGCCCGCTCGGCGGCGACTTCATCACGGCCCAGTGCCGCCAGTTCTTTAGCCAGAACGAGGTGGAGGTGGTGCCGCCGTACATGATCGCGTCCAAGGAGCCCGTCAAGGACTACGAGAAGGCCAAGTGGACGCGGCGGGCTAACCTGCCCGAGGTCACCAAGTCGTGGCACGACTACATGGTCAACGTAGGTGGTGCGGGCAGTGCCGGTCGGTGGTATCAATACAGTTTGGCTTTTCGTTGGGCTTGTGATGTGTGGTTCAGTGACTCCTGAAATGTTTCTGGTGGCTTTTGGTTTCATTTCTGAGCCACTTTATTTTGGACTTCTGTATTGAATTTGTGTGTGGTTTGTTGCGTCATGTTCATTGTGTCGTATTGGAGGACGAGTGTAAGAACCCTTTGTCTATCATTTCCAGGAGGTTGTCCAAGACTTTCAGGCGACCATTCTGCAGTGTGTCGACGACTACAGCGAGGAAGCTATCTCTCAGATGCCCGCCGTCCCTTACGAATTCCCGAACGGCTACCACCAGGTACATATGACAGTGTTGTGAGGCGCCACGCGCCACGCGGCGAGCGGTTCGCGAGCGTATCTGCGAGTCGAGAGGTGGTCAGAATGTGGACGGGGAGGGTGTGCTTAGTCTCGTGCCTGGTGATGATCGCAGTGCATTGTTTGCCTGTATTTCCTGCTGCCCCTGCCCGTTTATGATGTGGTGATCTGCACGTCATTCTGGCTGCGCTGTGGTCGGCTAACACGGCACGCTCTGTTTAACATTCCAAGTTTTTGAGCAGTTACTGGGCACTTTAGTGGTCAGCAAACGTCTCTTGGTTGGGCATTGGCTAATTGCACAGAAAGTAAAGTTGTGCCATCTTCTTACTTACACCGGTCCTTTTGCCGAGCATTTACGTTCCGCGGCGCAGTGTTTTGGCTTCGCCATGAACGCAATTAAAGGCTGCTTCCATTGTCATGTGCAGGCTCACTGCTGACTTATGTCGGCCCGCTTCTGACTCCTGCTTACCCCGCCTGATGCGATCGGCGTCCTTCTGACCTCCACCGGCCCTCTCCGCACCCGCTGTCACCGCGCTGCTGCCCTCAGTAGCCTCTCCTGAGTTATGTTGGCCCACTCCTGACCCTCACCAACCAACTCATGTCCTCTGCCAGGCCGCTCCTGGCCTCCGCCTTCGCTCCTGATCCCTGCCAGGTCGCTTCTGACCCCCTGTTGTAAGCTTCTGACCCCTGCTGGGCCGCCCCGAACCCCTGCCGGCCCGCCCCTGACCCCTGTCAGACTTCCTGACTCCTGCTAGTGTGCCTATGACCGCTACCGGCCCCGTGACCCCTGTCGCCCCTGACCCCTGCCTACCTGCCCCTGACCCCTGCCGGTGCGCCCTCAGGATTTCGGCTCGGAGCGCTTTAAGATCCCCGAGTGCCTGTTCGACCCTAGCAACATCAAGGGCGTGGGCTCTACCATGCTAGGCATGGGCAACGTGGCGCACAACTCGGTCAGCATGTGCGACGTGGACCTGCGGCCGGTGAGTGAGGTGCCGCCGCGCACCCCGGCCGCCCCTGTCAGGCCGTCTCCGTCTGCCTGGCCAGCGACGGCTCGAGGCGGCCGACCAGGAGCGGGGTGCGGGCTGCTCGGTGGTTTCGCCGGCCGCCGCAATCTGTGATCCCGAGCTGTGATATTAAAACGGGGAGCGCTGTTTAGAATCGGTGCTCGTGCTTGTTCACCGTTCGGGAATGGTTTGACCACACAACTGCGTGTTTGCATAATATGTAGAATGACATCAACGTGTCTCTATCTCCTAGAGATGGTCGGTGTTCGGTGTTTTCGAGAAAGTTGGTTGGTCGTCACGGAGCACGCACGACGACTTGAGCTCTTACCACTGTGAGCCCACCCAAGGCATGCGGCGTGTCTGTGACGTGAGTTCCGTGGGGTAGTGCCATAGCCGAGTGTGTCGAAGCTGACCTGACCTGACCTGCGCCTGCCTCCCGCAGAACCTGTACGGCAACGTGGTGGTGACGGGCGGCAACACGCTGCTGCAGGGCGTGCCGGAGCGGCTGAATCGCGACCTCTCGCGCAAAACGCCGCCTGTGAGTGTGACTGCCGCGCACGACAGCTATGTGGCCGGACCTTTAGTTGTAATGTTTGATACTCTGCGGCACAAGTGGTCGTGCAAGGTGATGTTCGTTGTCTACGCGCCTCAAAGCACGGGTCGTCTCCACCATGATGCCGTCTGCCAGGACAGAACTGACCGTGTCGTATCGGCCATACCGCTGCCGTGGCCGGCGTGACCTGCCGCCGGGGTGCCGTCCCCACCTACCCCCCCCCCCCCCCCCCCGCCTGTGACCGGCGTGACCTGATCGCCGGGGTGCCGTCCCCACCTACCCTCCCCCCCCGTCTGTGACCGGCGTGACCTGGTCGCCGGGGTGCCGTCCCCACCTACCCCCCCCCCGCTGCTGTGACCAGCGTGACCTGGCCGCCGGGGGCGCCGTCCCCGCCTAACCCCGCCCCCCGCTGCTGTGGCCGGCATGACCTGGCCACCGGGGGCACCGTTCCCGCCTAACCCCGCGCCCGCTGCTGTGGCCGGCGTGACCTGGCCGCCGGGGTGCCGTCCCCGCCTAACCCCGCCCCCGCTGCTGTGGCCGGCGTGACCTGGCCGCCGGGGTGCCGTCCCCACCTAACCCTGCCCCCCTTCCGCCGCTGTGACCGGCGTGACCTGGTCGCCGGGGTGCCGTCCCCACCTACCCCCCCCCCCGCTGCTGTGACCAGCGTGACCTGGCCGCCGGGGACACCATCCCCACCTAGCCCCGCCCCCGCTGCCGTGGCCGGCATGACCTGGCCGTCGCGGATGCCGTCCCCGCCTAACCCCTCCCCTGCCGCTGTCTCCGGCAGAACATGCGTCTGAAGCTGATCAGCGCCCAGGGCAGCTCGGAGCGACGCTTCGGCGCCTGGATCGGCGGCTCCATCCTGGGCTCGCTCGGCTCCTTTCAGCAGATGTGGATCTCCAAGCAGGAGTACGAGGAGGGCGGTCGCAGCCAGGTGGACCGCAAGTGTCCCTGAGTAACGCCGTGTATGGCGTTGTCGGACTGGGCCTGATTGGTTTGGATCGGCTCGGAGCCGATCAGATCAGATCCGGCGAACTGGATAGACCCGGATCGAACCGTCGATATGAGCGGAGTGAGTGCGTCAGCGGAGACAAGACGGACAATTGGACGCTTGAAATCCGGTCTCTTTGTATTTTTTTCCAGCTCTCATTGTATGTGTGTATGTGTGCAGTGAGGTTGAAGGAGGTATGTGGTGATGAGTACATGCTCTTCCTGAGGGGAACTCGAACTCTAGTGGTGCCCATTTTCCGAGACTGGACATAGTTGTAACTGACAAACCTCGCGTGTGCGCGCGCATGGCGCGGTCGGCGCATGGTCCCAACCGTTGTAAGATGTCGTATTTTGTCATATTCATCGACGTTTCGTCATAAAAGCTTCATCATATTCGTGTATTTGACTCGTGTAAATGTCAATTACGAGAAATTTGAGGCAAGACGATGTATTGTTTTCGCACCGCAATTACCGTCCAGCCGCGGGCAGATGGCGCCACCTGTCAGCCGCCGGTGCGAGATTGCCGGCACATCGCTGGTCCACTGGTGGGAGGGTCGGACGCTGGGACTGGCACCCGACGGCACTAACTCCGACGGCACAGTCACCGACGGCACTGTTACGGACGGCAGTGTCACCGACAACACTGCCACCGACAACGCTGCCACCGATAACACTACCACCGACGGCACTCACCGACAGCTCTGCCACCGACGGCTGCCACCGACGGCACTGTCGCCCGCTAACACTGCCATCAACGGCACTGGCACCAACGGCGTTACCATTGGCGGCACTGTCACCGACATCAGTCACCGACAGCACTGTTGCCGACAACACTCACGGACGGCATTTACACTAACGGCGCTACCGCCGACACCACTGTCACCGACATGACAGTCACCGACAGCACTGACACACAACACTCACCAACAGCATTACCACCGACGGCACTCTCACCAACAGCTTCGTCACTCACGGCACTGCCACCGACAGCACCGTCACCGACATGTGATGATGTCAGCGCCCGCCGGCTGGGTGGCGGGAGGGGTCGACGCTGCTCCGGCGCCCGGCCAGCGTCAGTGACGTAGGCGGCTGGGGTGTGGCGACGGTCGGCGCAGGCCTGCGATGTCACCCATCCTCACGTCACGTCACGTGCCGGGATGGTGACGCGGGTGCAGATAACGGAGGCAGTTGCCTCGCCCTTAGAATCCATTAGCTGACTAATGGATGACGACGCGGCTGAAGCTGGATGGCAAGAGATTAACGGACATGTTTCTCATTTGTACGGGGTTTTAATAGAGATAGTAGCGTTGGATCCACTGAGGGCTGTCCACGGTCATGACGTTGTGATGGTACGACACGCTCAGGTGTAGAGCGCATGATTTTAATCGATGCCCAGGTATACCAGATATGTGACGTCACCAGCGGTGACTTTGCCAGCGACCAATAGTACAGCCGCCGCCGCTAGTCGGTGTTTTGGTTAGATATGACCTTATCTCCAAAGTGAATGAACGAAGCCAAATCTCCTCTTTCTCAAGTGAAAGTGCTTCAACAGGGTTCACAAGCCTTCACAGCCTTCACAAATGACGAGTACTACCTTTTTATGGCCTGTGTTGAACACCACATAATCAACCCACAAATATCACGTCACCCTTTTCCACTTGGCGTAACATGATTTAAATCATCAACATTGGCCATCAGCCACCAAATCAGCTCTCAGCAGGCTCCTTCAAGAAGTGCTAGATGCGCGGCCCGACATAGCATGACGCCGGCCAGGCAGGCGACAGTCCTGCCGGCAGGCGACAGTTTCATCGACACATTTTTGCGGGTGACCCCGCCCTCTTCACGGCGACCACGGCCTTCCGCTCCTCTGTCGTGTGAGGTCGAAGTGTTGACCGGGAATGCAGTGACAAATCTGCACGCCTCAGAAACCAGAGGTACGAGGTTCGATTCCCCGCGAGCCGTGGTGAATCGAGCCGGCCCTTACTGCCAGGGTGAGTCACGCGACACTGCTCATTACACAGCCTCAGCAGCTGAGCACGTCGTAAAGCCCCGATGGAAACGTACGAGGCTTTGTTTGCATGCACCAAGTGCGAAGGGCACGATAGTTTCCTTCTTGGAAGACGTGCAAGGAAATGTTGTTACCAACAGCTGTGAACCCTACAACGACACTGCTGGACAGAGCTCGACCCAGGACACGGCCTCGATCGTCATCAGTGTCATCAGAGATAGAGACGCCAAATCATAGGGGAGGTGGGCCTGTACGTGAATTTATTTTGCCGAACTTTGAGCTCCCTAGATCATGACCTTCGGGTCAAATCAGGCCAGCAAGGTCAAACTCCAGATTGGTTCCCGAATTAAGTGCTTCTTCATACAACCACATGGATGCCTAGATGCCTCAAAGCAGAAGGTCACTGGTGTTTATTTCAGGTCACTGACCTTGTATAAGTTTCTGAGTGACTTGGTGGCCAAAAACTTCTGAAACTGCTTTGATTTGGAAATTTAAATAAGTGTCGCGGATTGCACCGGAGGCATGCTCCAACGGCATAAGGTTAATTGGGATAATTTTAGGTCACTGATTTCTGATATTTATGAAGTCCAAGCAAGATGGCTGTTGATGTTACCGTGGGGAAGAATTTCGAAATGAGCGTCAAAAGCTACCTTATAAAGCAAGTTCTCCAGCACAAGGTTGGTTTTGATATTGGCCTAGCCTTCATACCCGACCCAAAGCCAACGCTACTAGTGGTATTCCTAAATCAGCTGTCTAATACCAATAAATCGGCTATTTAATTACCTGCAACAAAACAAACCACACTGCGCAATTCAAAACTCATTCGGGAAAAAAACTATTGATTTTTGGGGTGGGGGTCAAATGAGCCCCCAATCCGCGGCCGTTTTAAAATTTGGACATCATGTATCATTCAAACGGCACTAATGTCGCCATGAAAAGGCAACTTTTCCTATCGACATTCGGTGCTTCTCTAGCGACTGGCGTGCCGCAGCCGCGTCAACCGTAGCATCGGGCCGTGCCTGGCGCTGAGTGACAACGTTGTCCTGCTGACTGGCCCAGTGACCTGCTGAGTGACAACAGTGACCTGCTGAGTGACAACGGTGACTTGCTGAGTGGTCTGGTGACCTGCTGAATGACAACGGTGACCTGCTGAGTAGTCCGGTGACCTGCTGAGTGGTCCCGTTGATCTGCTGAGTGACAACGGGGACTTTCTGAGTGATCTCAGTAACCTTCTAAATAGCTCCGGTGACCTGCCGAGTGACCTGATGAGCCATGTGACGCGTGGCATGCGTCCGGCCCCGCCTGCTCGGCGTCTCGCGGTGAGAGCGGCGCTCTGCTGAGGTCACAGCACAGGCATGCTGCAAGCGGGGCGGGCCGTGCCTTATCTGGCCGGCTCCACACAGTCTGCCTCAGCGCCTCGTGTGTCATGCTCCGCTCAGGGAGAGGGCCATTCAACCCGGCCGGGGTCGCCCCGCCTCATCCAGTGCTGCGTGAGAAGTGGTAGGAATTTGTAACCATGGGACACATTGAGGACGTGTGGTTCGCGTGGTCGGTTTCAGTCGGTTCCACCGTGGCAACGACTGGGACAAATCGCTACACAAATGTCAAAACCCCATACAATTTGTTACGTCAGGCGATGCATCCCCCAGATTACCGTTTACGGACTGCCACCGCCTTACCATGCACAGCGGCTGTGCTAAACCGCGCCTTTGCCTGTCGCCGGTTTTCCCTCGCCGTATCTGCGGTGTCCTCCACGGCGGTGCGGCGTCACCGCGACTCAATGCCCGCCAGTGCGCCCTTCTCTCCCGAGGAAATGACATACCGCTGCCGAGATGGGCCGCTCGCCGCTGCCGAGTCCCGAGATGCGCCGGCCGATACATGAATGGTGACATTGTCGCCGCCATATATGACCGTCCGAAGGCTTGATGCCGCGCCGGGCCCTCCAAAAAAAGACATGGCTCCTACGATGGGTGGAATGGAAATGGTGAACGGGTTTTGCACGATGGAAATTACATCGCGGAACCTGCGATGCTGTGGTATGAAATGTCAAAATTGCATCTCATTGCTATGGGGCTTTGGGCACGCAGCAGCACCAGTCCACGATTTTTCATACAGCCGTTACCGCTTCGTGGTGCATATTGGTTCTCTAGGGACCCTCACGGATCATGTGGCTGAACAAACAAGAACTGGACGTGATCCACTAATGTGTGATCAAATGTCCGCACGCTACGTGTGTGCTGGCGGTGTTTGCTGCGGCCTCGCAGAAGGCATCACGATGCCGGCCTGTTCTGCTGATCGGCTTCCGGCCAGCTGTGACGTCACGGCCGCTGGACAGTCAGGGGTCACCGCCCTGGGAACGCAGAGGAGCAGCAGAGAGGAGGAGGAGGCCCCTGACTGCGCGTCTGATGACCGTGGAGTGTCTGGTCTCGGCCTCCCGAGGCAGATTCCTGACTGATGTCATTGAGACACGTCCAAAGGAACGCACATAAGGCGTAGGAACAGGGGACGCATGGGCGTCACCCATTGTCGATCAGAATGTAGTAACAACACTATGGTGATGCGTGTGGAAGTATGCTTTTCTATGTTTAGCAATCACTTTTTAGCATTTCTGATCCTGGGACGCCGCTCAAAAGTCCCCCTGCCTTTGAAGCTGTGGTGTCACAAACCTCAATCGTTACCCGTTCACCTTGCGGAAACTGCTGCACGCGAAGCAGTCTTCCCATGTCTTCTTCCCAGATCTTCCCAAATCGTGTCTTGCCGACCAGCCTACTAGCACATCGGTCGCGCAAGCAATACCACAAACAACACATCGGTCAGTTCAGACCGCTATAATGCCGGCTGGATTCATCGAAATCTCGGTCTGTGACCAATGGCGCACCACTTCACGGTCGCTTCCAGTTATGATAGCTTCGTAGATAGCTGTGGCTTCAAGCTCGGTGCGGACGACCGCAGACCTGATGCATGAGCCACGTGCATTAACTGCTGAATGTGGCCGGCTCACTCCTCCTCGTTGAGCTCTACATTTATTCATTGGCACCGTGACGCGAGGGGGCACAGCTGGCCAGCCGTCTGCCGCTGGTCGGCAGCACGCACCACGTCAGCACTGGTAGAAGCCGTCTGCCGCTGGTCGACGGCACGCGCCACTTCAGCATTGGCAGAAGCCGTCTGCCGCTGGTCTGCAGCACGCACCACTTCAGCTTTGGCAGAAGCCGTCTGCCACTGTCCGGCAGCACGCACCATGTCAGCATTGGCAGAAGCCGTCTGCCGCTGGTCGACAGCACACACCACGGCAGCATTGGCAGAAGCCGTCCGCCGCTGGTCTGCAGCACACACCACTTCAGCTTTGGCAGAAGCCGTCTGCCGCTGGTCTGCAGCACGCACCATG